ATATAAACAGGCAGCAAGACCAGAGCAGCGTAGTGCCAGTGAAATCATCAACAGGGGAGTATTCATGTTCCCCTGTTTTCAGGGTAGTGTTGCTCAGAGCCTAGAGCCAGAGCTGAGCATGTGAATGGGGAGACTGAGGCTTCAAAGATAGTGGACATATACAGATTAGGAGCCAAAGATGCCATTCCTCGTGATTTAACTTGAGAGTTATGTTAGAGCATGGCGGGGAAATGAACATGAAAACTGGAAGAAAGCGTTCAAGTTTCATGTGGTTGGTGTTCAGTAGGTCCTTGAGCACAGGAGCAGCCACATTAGGTCAGTTCTTAATGCAAACTGTTCGCCTATAAAATGCAAGATAGCTTGAAAACGAGAGAAAGTGGATATACACGAAGTAGATGAGAGTATTTTTGTATTAGTGTGAAGTTATGGAGCCCTTCATTTGCCAGGCAGCTTCAGAGAAGATACAACGATGGGACTTCCGATGCAGTGAGTTGAAAAATGAATATGAAATCAGTAAATGAAATGACCAAGGGTAGACTATGGTTTTCAAGAGAGTGTCAGGGCACAAGGGAAAATCAATAGGAACGTAGTTAGGAACTCAGGGTGCCTTTGTTGTTGCTGTTGTTGTTTTGAAGGAAGAGACTGTTTTCATACACACTCTTAGGAGGAAAATACTTTTTTGCTTTTAGGACCAAGGAGAATGGTACTTCTGAGCAATTCTACCTTTTTGTATTAGAAACACTTGATTTCGAAATTAATTAGGTTTTTCCATTTTGCCTTGACAGTTACAAAATTTAATGTTAACTTTGCTACATTCAGCTGAAGGAAATTTATTCATGGGTTGAATTTTAAGCCTCATTATTGATTTTATTTTAGGTCTTTGTCTTATTTTTCTCCCATTTGCCGTTTGCTCCTATTTTGAGCTCGCCTGCCTGCCGTCCCTTCCTCCCTTCCTCCCTCCCTCCCTCCCTCCCTTCCTCCCTCCCTTCATCCCTCCCTCCCTCCCTCTCTCCCTTCCTCCCTCCCTCCCTCCCTCCCTCCCTTCCTCCCTCCCTCCCTCCCTCCGTCCCTTCCTCCCTTCCTCCCTTCCTTCCTTCCTTCCTTTTCTTTTTTTTTGTTGTAGCCTTAGAGAATCCACTTATGTTACCATCTAGAATGAGATGGGGACATAAATAAATTTGTTGTACCTCTACACCAAATACATGATAAGATCTTAAATAGTGTTTATTAAATGAATTGAAACAAGAATATAAAGAGAAAGAAGATTCTTATGCTTTGTAGAATGATGTGACAGGATTTATTAATAGACTGTATAAAGGCGATAAAGACAGGAGTTAGCGAGGGGTATTGGTTCTGATCTGGAATTCTTATGGGGCTATCTGGAACAAAAGTGGACATTAAAAGCTAAGGGCGATTTAACGGAAAAATAGCTTAGATTTGAAAAAACTCTTTACTTGGCTGTCATCTGTAAGAAGCCTTAACTTTTCGAATAGATCAGAAGTTGCTCTTGTATGGATTCATGTCAATGATGACCTATGTCTATGGCTTTACCTTAGGGGCTGCTGTAGATAGAACTGTGCTCACATTCATGCTGGACGCAGGGACTGTTTTCTCTAAAATTACAAGTAAATTTTAAAAATTCTGGTTCTGTATTATCAGCATGATCCCTTCTTTCAATCCTAGTCCTCTCCAGGGTGCGTATGTCACTAACCTTGCGGTCAGGGAGGGCAGGGGCATCTTGAGTGAAATGAGAGTATGAAGAATGAACACTCTTCTTATTAATGTGAAATATAAACTGAAAGAGTTAGCAGGAAAAAATTCAAGTCTTATTTAGTTTCAAACAATGAGGAGAGAGCATCCTTCAAATAAATTCGCATGAAAGTGAATAGGATCTTAATGCAATGCAGTCCAAACAAATATTATGTGATTAAACAGGAGAGAGATACAGGCACAAACAACATTTGTTGGCAGTGAGGTGAGGTCAAAGGAGATAATAGTTTCATTGCATTCTACTAGAGTCCTCTGTTCTCAATCTTTGTAACATCTTGAAGGGATTTTGACTAACTGAGTCATATTCCGGAGACAGTGGCTTTATCAGAGTAGCCTCTGGGACCAGTCAGGTGAGAAGCAGCCACAAAATATGTGGTGGTGGATTCTGGAAAAGAGTTCTGTTAAATATCACACAATATAAAAAGGGTGTCATGTGAAAAAATGCTTTGGTTTCTTCTGCACATCTCTAGGAAATGTACTCAAACTGTTATGCACTGGATCAAGACATATTGATTAAGCACACATTGCTGGTCAGCGTGTTAGGTGGTGGAGAAAGGGAAGGACCAGACAGGTGCATTCGCTGAGCTAAAGGACTGAGGTAATACTTAGACAGACAGGCAAATGCTGAGTGGAGTTTTGCGGGATACAGTGGGTGCATACTGCAGTGCAACCAAATGGTAGAAGTTATAGAGGGTCAGATTTTAGAATAATTATTATTTTACCTGAGCATATACCCAGTACATAAATGAAGTGAAAATGAAGCGAGCTTCCCAACTGCTAGTCCCATGTCCCATTAAGGAGTGTTTTGTTACTAGATATTTTCTACTAGGTGTCAGATGGCTTTTTGTGTAGAATCTAATAGAGGTTATATTTTCTTCAGGTTAAAGATTGAATGAGAGACTCTCTTTAGATATTTTCTAACTCCAAGAATTTATTTATAATCATAAAATATTCAATTATAAATTTTTAATCTACCGGAGTTATTTAAAGTTTCTTAACGTGAAATAATTAAGCAACCGCTAGCCGTAGTTACTTCCTTTTATTCAGTGACTAATCTTATTTATAAAAAGTTTTTTTTTCCCTGTGGGTGGAAGTAAAAATAAGAGTGCTTAAGAAGGAAAGAGGGGTGATTAATAGCCTTAAAAACCTTATTACCATTTTGGGTTATAAATAAACTTGAGGGAAAAAATTCGTCATGTCTCTTTTTTTTCCCAGGAGTTTACTAAAGGTGGGTTCTCCTTCTTGCCCCTTGAATAATCACCGAAAAAAGGAAAAGAATCATGTTATTTATTGTTATGCCATTTATTGACAAAATTAATGATTGTCATTTTTGGGTGCTAATTTGTGATTTTATCTCTCAAAGCTGCCCTGATGGTTAGTTATCTCTTCATCTGGGTCATCCTGTGATGCTTTAAAATGCTGTCTGGTCCATTAGACGCCACTGGAAAAAATTATGAAAATTTCTTTTCAATTATTTTAAGCAAAAATTATATTTTAATAATCAAAATGTAGAAAGGAGTTAAAAACCTTAAAAGCACCGGACTGCACCCCAGAGAACTCTAGTTTCCTTTTGTTTTGGGAAAGCGATGTGGGTTTGAGAAACCTTTGTTTTCCAAGGTGTGTAATCACAGGGCTTGAAAGGGTCGTGTCTAAAACTGGCTCCAAGTTCTACCGTTTGGAGATGGGTGACATGCTCTGGACAGGAGGGCTTTCCTTTAACCCTGGGTGACAACAGTGATACCTCGAGTGGTTTGTATCAATCTCAATAAACTGTCTATGAACATTCATTTAAAAACTTAAGAAAACCTTGTTTTCAAATTCTACTTAGTATCAATATCAGATATTTGTATTGCATTTTATATTTTTCACATCCATGTCCAAAACATTTTTATATGGTGGATGTAACAGAAGAATCCATAAATAACAGTAAATGAAACCAGTGCATTATATAAAAAGACACCAAAGTTCACCCAGAGTCACTGTGAAGTCCAAGGTTATATGGCTAATGTGAGGTGGAAGCAAATTTCTGATTTCAATTTCTGTACTCCTGTTCAAATGAACAGCTCTACACAAGTGTTATTTACTGTTGCATTTATGTTACCTGTATGTAAGAGAGATACTCTTCCTGACTCTCATCGCTGTGCTCCACAGTAGCCTTGAATAAGAAAAGGTCACTTCATCACACCATCTGCCCATTTTCTGTTGGAACTTAGCCTACCAAGTTTGCAGAGAAATGTTAAAGGCAGCAGCCTTTTAAAGATACTTGGGCAATACCATTTCCTTAGGTATTTGAACATTTCGATTCTGTTCAGGTCACATAGGACATTGGGTCCTCCTGTTGGGTGGTTCTGTTTACACCCCAGAGAGGCTGCACTCCTGATTGAGCCTTCTGCAGGAGCTCAAGGCCCAGGGGTGCTCCATACCAGCTGCTCAGCTGTATGAGCACCAAACTCTCGCTGGTTTCTTCTTTTGGTTTGTGTGACTATAATTTCTAATCAACCAGCGAGAGAATCAAGTCACGCAGTCAATATGGTTTATCATGGATTAGGCAGGGAAGCCTGGACATCAGGATATGATAGAAGCGAAGAATGCAGCAATTTGTAATGTCAAGAAACTCTCGGTCTCTCTGTGGCTTCTGAAGTCAGACAGAATAGCTTTAAATCTTGTTTTCCTGCTTAGTAGCAGTATGAACCTGAGCAAATTACCTAATATTGATAAGCCTTAATCAGCCCATATGGACAGTGTTGAAAATAAAAGCATACATTTTAAAGGGTTGTGGGTGAGGATTAAATAAGAAAGCCTAGGCAGAGCCTGACACATGGTAAATGATACACAGATTGGCCACCCACTTACAGTCCCCTTGTGCCTCTGATGTAGTGACCAGCATCCTGGAGACAGAAACAGTCTCTGAAAGTCGGAGTACAGGGATGGCGGTGAATAAGTGTGGGTTATCGTAGAGGAAAAAGCATTGCCTTTGTAATTTTTATGGAGACAATGAAGTATTAGTGATTGTTTTGGGAATTGCATTTACCCCTTTGAAAGCCATAATTGTAAAGTATGGAGATGAATTACAGGTAGTAGATCATGGTCTATCTCTAAAACTCATGGGTTGTCCTCACATGCCATGAACTGCTTAGGGCCCTTGAAGAAGTTATTTTGCTTTTGAAAACTTTTATAAAATGAGACCTAAATGATCTTTAGTATTTTCTGCTGGTTTGAGAGTCTGTGATTCTCATGAGTGTATATTCATCTATTACTGGTACCTATGTTTGTATATTTTTTCTGAGAAATTCCTCTTTATAGTATTTCCATGACATACTGGAGATTTTCCCCTGGAAAAACTAATGGTTGGAGCACATTCTGAAAATCACAAGAAGGGAAGTGCCTCTGAGCTAGTAACTTTGCTAAAGGAAATTGTCATCCCAGACGTTGTGTAGCCTTAAAATGTAAGGTACTATATGAAATCTAATTACCATTTAATGTAAACTTTATTTGTCACACGAACACACACACATACACACGCAGGCTGGCAGTTAGGCATTGTTTTCATTTTATAGTTGGGAACCCTGAGGTTCAGATTTGTGGAGCGACTTGTCTGAAGTCACTGGTGGTGATGCTGGGCTTTAGGCTTGAGTCTGCCTGACACTCCTGCCATGTGCTTGTCTCTATATTGTTTCTGCAAAACAGCTTAAGTATATAATAGCTAAGAAGGAAAACTGAATGTTCTGGGGAATGAACTGCTAATTTCTGAGTTTGACATAAATCTGGATAATCTCTTTTTCTCTTTTTTCGCTTTTCTGTAAAAGTGTTATTTATTGTTGCAGTTCTGTTACCTATATGTAAAAGACATGCTCTGCCTGCTTCTCATTATCGGACTCTGCAGCAGCCTTGATTAAGAAAAGATCACTTCATCACACCCTTTACCAGTTTTCTGTTTGAACTTAGCATACCCGATGTGCAGAGAACTGCTAAAGGCAGCAGCCTGTTAACGATACTTGGGCAATGCCATCCCTAGGTACCTGTGCCAATGACTAGGTCAGATAAGCCACAGCATGATTTCACGAGGGGAGGACTTCATGTATGCACCACTGTGCTCCCAAAACATAGCAAAGTGCTGGGACATAGGAGGCATCTAGTCAGTAGGTGATGAATAACTAACACTCAGGATACAAATTTATTCATTTTTTAAATCCAGCAACCATTTATCGTGTACTTATGGTGAGTAAGGCATTCTAAGATGAAGATGTGTTCTTTGCCTTCCAGAAGATTATAATTTAGGGTGAGTAATAAGACATGTGTTTTAGTATTATATGAAGTGGCATGTTTTTCTCCAAGATGATTATTGCTAAATTCAGTCCTGAGATGTAGATGGGGTAGTAATCAAATTATCTTTAGCGTCTTTTCATATTGCTTAATTTCATGTTTTAATTGGCTTTTATTTTCTCAGCTCAGGAATATATTTTTATGTGTCTGTTATCTACAAAAAATTAACAAATTATTTTGCTAGGATAGCCATCTCTCACACCTGTTCTTGTTAGCATCAGGCAAGCCTATTGTCAATAGCATGGGACAGTCTATTTTCCCACTGTATCCGTCAGAGTTCTCCATACAAACACAACTCGCAGCGTACAAACATTATGTAATATATATGATTGTATATGTACAATTACTTATATATTTATGAAATACATATATTCAAGGAATTCACTTGTGTGATTGTGGGGATTTGCAAGTCCAAATCTGTAGGACCAGCAAGCACGCTGTAAACTCAGGCAGAAGCTGATGTGACAGTCTTCAGCCTGAATTTCTTCTTCCTGAGGGTAACCTCAATTTTGCTGTTAAGGCCTTTCAACTGATTGGAAAAGTAAGGCTCACCCACATTACTGGGGATGATCTCTTATTTAAGGTAAACTGATTGTAGATGTGAGCTAGATCTACAAAATACCTTTTTAAAACAATGCCTGGATTCCTATTTGACAGGGTAACTTTGTACCATGGCCTGGCTAAGCGTATACCTACGACTAGCCATCATGGCCACCACTTATGACACGAAGAAAGTTTCCAAAATAAGAAAACAAACAGTTTAAAAATTTTTTGCAAACAATAAAGGGATTCTTTTATGGATTACGTTAAACTTCCAGATCAAATTTTGAGGGTCTGAAATATTCAACAGGAACCATAGAGTTCTGAGAGATTTAAAGTGATGCTTTCATTTCCAGGAAATCAAAAATTGTATCCTTCCAAGAAGTATTATGAGAAACACTTCTAGGACATCCATGCTTCGCAAGACACAACTGAGAAAGCCACTTTTGTTGAGATTTAATTCCCACTTCTTTCTGCTACTTCACAAGCTCTACTGAAAGAAAGAGAACAAATGTTCTTGTCGCAAATGTAGTTGAAGTGTAGCCGCTGTCGTTCATCACTTGAAACAGTCTGTTGTAAACAATCAGAAACATCTTCAACTTTTCTTAGATACATTTTCTAAGTGTCTTTAAATGTGAGGAAAACACAGATTAGATATCTAAAGTCAAGGAAAGTTCTGAGTTCAGTTTAGTAAAATTTCTATGCATCAATCTATATGTTTCTCTGGAACCACCTTTTAATAATTGTATTTCAGTTCATAGTACATAATTTGTTCTTAGGAACTATGTGTGACTCATTTCTCTTGAGGCTTTCTCCTTGCCTATATCCTAGGTAAAAATAACCCTGAAACTTCAATTCATAGCCTGTGTAAATAAAAAACCATACCTAGTGTTCTGTAAATCCTGGGAAAAAGGAGGGAGAGCTGGAGAGCTTATATTTCATGGTTTCCACTGCTTCTTAAGTTTCTTTTTCCCATTTCATTAGAAGCTTTATTAATCGTTAGCACCTCAACATAGATAAGCTTAGTCTCCTCCTCACTTTATTAGCGACAATTAAAGAACGTGTCTCCATCCGCACAAAACACTGCTTAGATACCTAGATAAAGACGTAGATGTTATGAAGGGAAGTATACTTAACTGTGTGTACGTGTGTTGGAAGGTGGGTGAAATGAAGAGCTTTACATTATAACGAGGCAAATGACCTCAAAAGAAGCAATAGGCACACGCATGCCCCATCACTGCACCACCTCCTCCCTCCTCCTCCCCACCCCTCCTCCTTCTTCCTCCTTCTCCCTCCTCCTCCCCACCCCTCCTCCTTCTTCCTCCTCCTCCCTCCTCCTCCCCACCCCTCCTCCTTCTTCCTCCTCCTCCCTCCTCCTCCCCACCCCTCCTCCTCCTTCCTCCTCCTCCCTCCTCCTCCCCACCCCTCCTCCTCCTTCCTCCTCCTCCCTCCACCTATTGAGCTTTCTGGCCCTTTTCTCTCCTTTCTTCTTTCTTTTCTCCATAGGTAGCTATCAATTTCTTTCAAGAACTTCTATAGCAAATTTTTACCTTTTCTTAGGCAGAACACCTTCTCTTCCCCACCTGTATTCCTTCTGTCACCTATGAATCTAATCTGCTCCGAGGAAAAGCTATCAGATGTATGATCATTACGGCAAGAGAACAGTAGGATTAAACACAAAGAGAGCCTCATTAAAAGGGCATATATTCATTGCAAATGATGAAAATAATGCAACCCAAAATAAGACTTTCATCCAGAAAAACATATAATATCCGGGTAAAGATCGTAATGTTTTCTATTCCATGGAAAACTGCTCCTGAACCAAAGGAGAATGTTTTTTTCCTCTTTCTCCTCTCTTTTAGCTACCTGTAGGGACTGCTTAGTTTTTGTCTTCCTTTCACATTTCCAACTCAAGATTATGGTAAACACTATTGTTCAAGGTTATTGATGAATTGAATGACATTATCATTCATTCTGCAAACATGAGTATTTGCCAGAAGTGATACAGAGTGGAGATGCAAACATGAATATGACATTTTGCCTTTAAAGATGTTACAGTCCATGGCAGTATCATTTAAATAAATTATACAAATACACATTAGCAGTGCCGTGATAAGCTGTGTTTGGGGGAGTGGGGGCACAAAGGAAGGTCTAGACAGTTTTTCACTGGAGTGCTTAGGTGGGATCATACAAGTAATTCTGAAAAACAAGTCATGATTAAATGCTCTAAATGTGGACAATTTAATGCTGTGGAAATTAAAAATGTTTTTCTGATGAATCAAAGTAGGTCTTGATTAAGGGTAAGGGCAGGTAGAGAGAAAGGTGAGAAATGATATAAAAGTAGAATAAAGATGAGGGAAAAGTAAAAGGGAAGAGAAATGTTTCTCAATTCCGTTAGTCGATGCAGCGCATTCAAATTACTGGCAGCAATTTTCTCAGAAACGTCTGGTAGAGTTTTGGTTTTCTCCTGGCTCTGAGGACAGTAGCTCACTGAATTACACTACACAGTAGAACAGCGTGTTGGCTGTTAGTGACTATTACGAGGTATTGGAATAAGGCAGCGTACCTGATGCTGGCATGCAGAAGCTAGTTAACAGGGAGGCTCTGTTCGTTATTGTTCGACAGTTTCAGAGAGTGTTATTGACACTTTCACCCTGAGAATCTTGGGAAGCCCTAGCTTTGCTGTGGATGTGTAATTCTGTACACAATAAACTGCTCTCTTCTAGTGTAGTTAATGAAAGCAGGCAACAGTCTGCAGCACTGCATTACTGAAATGTGACTAGAGCATTGTATTACCAAAGTATTACTGAAATAGTTGCCAAGGTACGATTTGATGTACCAGTTTTAGTCAGTGCTGTGATTTGAATAGGAGTTCCCAAAAGCATGTGTTGGAAACTTAATCCTCAAAGCAACAGTTTTAGGAGGTGGGGCCTAATGAGAGGTAATTAGGCCATGAGGGCCGAGTGAATTAATTAATGTAGTTATTGCAAAAGTAGGTCTGTTATAAAAGGGGGAATTTAACCCTTTTCAGTTTTCTCTCTCTCCTTTGTCCTTGCCCTCTCCTGGCCTTTCTGCCTTCAGCCATGGGATGATGTAGGAAGAAAGCCCTCACCAGATGCTGACGTCGTGATCTTGGACTTCCCAGCTTCCAGACCGGTAAGGATAAGTTTCTGTTCATTGTGAATGACCCAGTCTCAGCTATTCTGTTACAGTTACATAAATGGACCAAGAGAGTCAGGGAAGCAGCATGGAACAGCTTATGAAACTTTTGCATCTGAGGCAGGCTCCCGTGCTCTATCTACTCATTTTTATTTTTAACTTTGTGACTTTATTACTTCGGTCTCCTAGAATAAACCATTTAATCTCTTTGCACTGGGGCTTCATAATCTACAAATGGGAAAAGTAGGTTAGAAAACTTCTGATCTCCTTTCTAGATGTGACATTCTGTGATTCCAGATAGTGGAATACAATAGGGTGGGCTTTTGTTTCCCTCTCCTAGAGTAGATGAGAAATCATGTAAGCAGAAAGCCCATTTATAATGCTTTCCTGCCTCATATTTTTTCTCAGACACAATTGGAGTACAATAGATATTTAATAGATCCTTGTTAACTGAATAATGTTCCTTCTGTATGGTCAGGAGCCCTCAGATACCTTTGTAAATACTCTCAATTTAGACTTCAGGGCATTAAAGGAAGATGCTTCATTTTGCCAATGACATTCTTTTTTGATACAACTTAACAGCATGGATTTAGCTTTTGCTTTATGTGAGTAAAGCAAAGTTGTTAAATTCAGGCATCTTCCTGGAATAAATGTGAACTGCTGTAATTAGAAACTTTTTCTGTCATAATTATGTCCTAGAGGCTGAGACATGGGTTCCTTTTAATAAATGGAAAAGGAAAGTTACCCAGGCCAAGGAGATTAATCTTTGGAAGAGAGTCTAGCAGAAATAGAACAACCTACCTCAGAAACTGGATGAACAAATACCCACATGAGAGAAACAGAAACCACAGGTCATAGGAAAAGGCTCTGAACCACAAGAAGAATGTGAAAGAAAGGGGCTGAATTCTGACCACAGGAGGAGTCACAAAAAAATCTCCCTTTGTGTGGTTCTCAGTGAGCTGGTCTGAAAGGGAAATGAGTAGTGAAGGGCTTTTCATTTTAAATTTTAGTCAAAAGAAAAATCTGTTCTGTTGCATTATGGCCCATGCAGAAAAGAAGGAAAATCAAAGTAATGATGAGGAGGCCATTTAAAGGGGGGAAATATAATAACTTTCATTTAGTCTGTTTATTTCTTTTAAAAATATACGACATTTGGCAGAGGTAACATGTATATCACTGAGGATGACAGATGATGTGGAGATGTAAAGTATGAAAATGAAAATAGTCATTTAAAAAATCTTAATAATTTGGGGACATGTTTAGAAAACTCTTAAGTCAATATCTTCCTACTCTTTTCATATCACGGTTCATATTAAAACATAAAAAAAAGATAAAATTTGTTCCTATCACTGTGGTGCATACTCTCAAGGGTGGTAGGCCAGCCTTGGGATTTGGGGTACCTCATGCCCAACCTGACCAGACCTGGGGGCTGAGGGATTAAGTAGTTTTGCTCACCTGAAATTGATTTCTAGAACACTTGTCAATCCTGTAGGCCATCTAATGCTTTTTAGTAGGATACCATGGAGAGAGACCAGACCTTCTGGACAGTGTGGAGGATTATCGTTATTATTTATCAAGTCACTGCAAAATTGACAAATACTGTTTTAAACATATTAAATTGTAACGGACGTGATTTCAGTAGAACTGAGCTAGTGCAGGCTGTTCAAGCTTGTTGGACTGTGGTCACAGGTACCAGTCACGCACACCAGAATAACTGATTATCAAACATAGGCTAAAACATTCTACTCATTATATCCTTTTCTGGAGTTGCTTTTTCTGGAGTAGTAATAGTTTCTTAAAACACGGTCATCAATATTGGTCCTATTGTCTATCTCTTTCTTAAGTTTTCCTTAGTTAATAGAGGGTAAGAAATCAACCAGCTTTATTATTTTCTGAAATTTTCTAGCTGCATCTTGAGTGTTTTAATGAAAAAATTTAAATCACCATCAGCCATGTATTCTAATTAAATGATATTCTGTCTTGTGGCTACTTTTTGCAATTAGTCCTTGAGATGCAGATTGTTTTATTTTCTAATATGCAGGGAAAACAAAATAAGAAGAAGCATGTTATTGTGTTAACCAGAGTAAAGGTTGTAGCAAAGAGACTTCAAAGGCAATGGTGAAACATCTCCTGGCAGTAACAGGTCAGGTAGGCGTCCTCTGCTTCCCAAGGTCATCCAGGGACCCAGGCTAGAAGGGCAGCTCGGCCGTCCTCTGGGGCACTGGCATCATCTTCATGCTTGAAGCTGGGTGGGCACCTATCGAGGTTCCAGCTGCCAGCCATATATTGAGTTTATTAAGATATCAAGCTAAAAATTAAGTTACACACACACACACAGTTGTGCGCACGTGTTTTAGAAAGCCCAGGTGGTCTAGGCACACACAGAGAGAAAAGAAAGCATGGAAAAGGAAAACAGCGTCCGTATGTGCTGCTTCATTCACCAGGTTGATTTCGTCCACCTTGCCTTTGACTTTTCGTGATACAGGCGTTTGCTGGGCTTTCTTCTTTACTCCTTTTGGTTCTTCATCTTCTTTTTTTGATTCTGCTGTTTCAGTTCCTATTTCTTCTCCTTCCCTCACTGTTACTTCAGGAACCAGAGATTTCCCCTCAGCTTTGAGATAAGGCAGTTTTCGGATTCGACAACTTTGCCACGAATCTCTGAGCAGAAGCTAAAAGGATACTGCAAGTGCTCTGTTTCTATAATTTTACATCTCACACCGAGGTGGCTCCTTGGTGGCAGCGTGCGCTTCCCAGCTCATCACATCCCCCTTTTGGGTATTTCCCATGACCCTGGCCTGGTCTCTGTCTTGCTCCTCAGTAATTTTAACATCCCCGTTTCCTCTTTGCATTGATTCTCCCGAAACCCATCCTTAGCCTGTCCACAGCTATCCAGGGGAGGTGGATCTCTTCTTGCTCTCAGTAATGGTCCACTGGTCAGCTACTTTCTGGAAACTCTCTCTTAAATCGGCATCAGTTATGTTTCTCCTTAGCCTAACTCCAGAATAGACAATCCTGCAGCCATTCCTTTTCTTTCTTTATTCCACTTTGTTTTTATGCTCTTTCTTTACTTCTCTTGAGAAGTCAAGTAAGCCTTCGCCATTGGATGATTCACCAGCCACTGCAGGGTCTTTGTCAAAAGCCTAATTTTGTAGTTCAATATTTTGGAAAAAGAATTCTGTGTTCTTTATTTTTAGAGTTGATTAGTATTAAACAGACATCCTTCAGTGAAGTCGCAGTTTCACAATTGTGGAAATACTTAGGGAGTGAGTCTGCAAATAACCAAGTCATCATTCTAATCTGCAAAGCTTGAAAGATACATTTAGCCAATTGTATCCAGCATAACCCAGGGATATTGACTATTTTAAAAATGATTTAAAAGATAATTAAAGATATCAAGCAAGAAGAATCGAATTCTCAAAATGGCTAACTGGTATAAAAATCTATGTCCTTTAGAGGCTTTTTGATGATTACTGAGATATTACCTCATCAATTTGGATCACTGGTAAGTCTCGCTAAACTCAAATCAGCATCAGTTATATTTCTCCTTACCCCAACTCCAAATAAATCATCCAGACAAATAATGATTTGTCATAATGCCATAGAAATCAATTGGATTTAAGGTTAAAAAGTAAATTTTCTGCTAGTTGGGTAAATTGCTTTACCTTGCTCAATTTGCTTTCTACAAAATAGGAAGAGTAACACCTCTTTCTGTCTAATAGTGCTGTTCTGGAATCAAAGAAAGGATTTCTGTTAGAGTTGTAGATGCTGTATGGGCGTTTTCTCTTCTTATGCTACCCTTAGCTGCACACATGCCATCTCTGGATCAAACCGTAGTCATGTGACAGCAGAACATGTGGCTGACTGATCACAGCACCTCACCCCGTGCCCTTTTTGCAGAATAGCCTGAATAAATACTTTTTATAAATAATGAACAATCTCCCATTTAGATAATTTTGGCTTATTTAATTTTAACTATTTTATTATACAATATGCTAAGTTTATAACCTGATAAACTCATGTTTTGGAAGTAGATGCGTATTAAATTTTAAATATATGATGTATTGCATCAGAGATCTCAAATGATTGTAGCAGGAGCTTTGGAACTGGAATGACTCTTCACAACTGACCCAGTGAGGCAAGGGGCCTAGATCTTTGGACTGGGATCTTAGCAGTCCTTGACTGCAGGCTGCCATCAAAGGGGATATGCAAACCTGGTGAGGCAGCGTCTGTAAGCCAAACGCAATTCCTGGAGTACAACTAATCAGTGAGCTGTTAGCAGCCAGAATTCCTGGGTGCTGGGAGGTAAAGCACCTCAGTTCTAACGGGAGATTGTGTACTGCAGTATACACCACCATCCACCCTTTGTATCTTCTAGAAGTGACTGCTTCATAAAGTGAGTTCAGATCCATCTGGAAACAGCTGTTGTTGGGTTCTGGAAGAGCTCCTTTTCTGGGGAAATCTTGCAGGAGGTCAGTGGAATGAAGAGCTTCACCAACACTGAGGCCACAGCTGTTATCATTGCCTTTCTCTTCTGTTCCCCATTCCAGTTTCCCGTCACTCTCAGCCAGTCCCCCTGCCTCCTTCTTCCTCTTAGGAAGAAGCATAATTTTACTTTGCCTCCTCTGCACATGGGAAGCCCCTCAGATGGGTACCTTGCCCCAGGCTAACATTACCTGCCACTGGGTAGTGAGTTGGGCTAATTCTACATTAGGCAAGCCCCTTTGGCCCTTTCCCAATGCTGTGTTCTTTGACCTACATGTATCAGTAATATTTTGGCTTCCACCTTAATCTTTTACTTGTTTTTCTCAAACAATGAGAACCTAGGTAGGAAGAAGGACATTATTCCGTGGGAGACCGTCTAAGACCACCCTTCCTCCACAAGGAATTAGGCTGCTGTAAATGTTTGCTAATTGTGTTGGTGACATCTAATGAGGCAAATGCCACTTGTAGTGTTCTTCCTAGCTGTAGACTGATCTGAGTTTCAATCCAGTGGGCTTGGTCCTGTCAGTGTTTAACTGTAACTCCCAGTAGGAAGAATGACCTACCATCTTCTGAGTGACACACTCTTCCCGTGTGCTCTCAAAGCTTCACAGGACATTCAGGACATTTGCTCCCTTAGTGTTTGTCATACGTTTTATTGCTCCCTCCTCTCCCTCAGACTCTGGTCCGGCCTCAAAGTGCAATATGAGTGTCAGGCCTCAGCCATACTTAAAGGAGTATTTCTGCGAGCTCTGTCCCTGTGTTTTCAGGCCAAATTTGTGCATCACAAAACTTTCTCCTCATAGGATGAATTATTTCATACGTAGTTATGTGGTCTTTTAGGGAAATTGGCCGTGTGAGTTCGTGCCTCTAGTTTTTCTGGTATGCACTAAATTCACATCTCCTGTCTGAATCCCGGGTAACCACAGGTATGCTTTACAGAGCTGCACATTACATTTTCTTAGAATTCCGACTGATACTTGATGATGGCCAGTTTTAACCTGAAAGCATTTATGTCTGTATGGGATGTTGCCCTAAATTGAGTCAAAGCAATTGGATGGAAAATACACGTTGCGTGGCCAACTTGATTTCATGTAGTTTTTTCTCAGTTGTGAAATTTTCCATCACTTACTCTTTTCCTGCTTCTTGGCCCTCACCTCCCTTTTCCTTGTTGTTTTTGGCATTTTGTCTCCTAAGTTGTGCCTGAAATAAGCTTTTCACATATTGTTCTCATCTATAGCCTATATCTTATTTTCCAGTCAGCTGTATCTCACAGAATGTCACAGGGTTAGAGAGATAACCTCTGTCTAATATGGGAACTAAGTAAGACTGCATTGTGATAGAAAAATTGCCTGGTCCCCCCCGGTCCCCCAGGATGGATTCATATCTCTTTAGAGATGAAATAGGAACTGTTTCTTTTTGAAAAAAATTTAAATTTATATCCATGTCTTTGTATTCATTAAGATAAAATTTCCTAGGGACACTAACAAATAATTCCCACCTCTCAATGGCTTTTATGATCACTCACAAAAATGCCAATGTGAGGTGCGTGGCTTTTCTGGGTGATTCCTTCGTGTGCCTTTGCAATGTCAAGTTCTTTGCTTCTAGCAGTGCTCCTTCTAGAAAGAAGAGAGTGCAGAAGAGAGAACAGTTAAGTTGTCTTATTGCGAAGCCTAGAGCTGGTGGCTGTTCTTTCTGCTTACATTCAACAAACAGAACTCAGTTTTGTAGCTTTAATAATTCAAGGTAAAACATCAAATTACAATTTGAGATAAAGTAACAAATTTAAGGTAAAGAGCTATTGGAAAATAAATATCCAGTCAAGTACTAACTGTATAG